AAAATGGACATTGTAGACGAATTGGTGGATAGTCCCAATAGCTGGGAAAAAAAAAAACAGGAAGAAGGGAAGAGAGAAAGAAAGGAAGAAACGAAGAAGGGAGAAAAAGAAAGAGAAAGGGACAAAATGAGGAAACAGGCTTTAGTGGTACTGAGAACATTTGGATTCTCATCTTCTCCATAATCTTTTTGCCTATGTTATCATTTTCATTAACAAATTGAAATGGAAAAGGGGGGAAAAGCAGAACTGTGAACTCACAGCCAAAATGTGTTTTCTCAAGAAATATTTGACACACGTTTAAGCCATTTGACTTTGCATTAGACTAAAACTTGCTGTGCTTTTTAATCTGGTTGTTGTTTATTTAAAATTCTTTTCATTGGTTCTCAATCTAGAAGTACGCACATAAATTTTTACATGCCTCATTTTCTTCTGTATGTTTGTGAATTAAAATTAGCTGAATTATTAATTCACTTATTCTTTTTTTTTTTTTTTGGTTTTTCGAGACAGGGTTTCTCTGTGTAGCTTTGCGCCTTTCCTGGAACTCACTTGGTAGCCCAGGCTGGCCTCGAACTCACAGAGATCCGCCTGGCTCTGCCTCCCGAGTGCTGGGATTAAAGGCGTGCGCCACCACCGCCCGGCTTAATTCACTTATTCTTAAATTGAAGTAAGGACAGCTTTCATTTCCAGTGATCAGAAATTAAAAATGGAAAGAGATAAATGGGGAATGTCTGTCTTTGAGTAAATAAATACTGGTACCTATTCTCTCTACATGGGACTTAGTTCCCCAGATAGATTTCCCAGGTTTGTTTTGTTTTGTTTTTTAATTAATTTATTTATTTTACAACCTGGTCACAGTTTACCCTCCCTCCTCTCCTCCCAGTCCCTCCCCCAAACCCCCTTTTGTTCCCACCCCCAATCCACTTCTCCTCCATTTTTGTTTAGGAAAGGGCAGGTCTTCCATGAGTATCAACAAAACATGGCCTATCACGTTGCAGTAAGATTAAGCGCCTCCCCATGTGTTAAGGCTGGGCCAAGCAACCCAGTATGAGGAGTAGGGTCCTGGGTTAGTTTTTAAATCACACTCACTGTATGGAACATTTGTATAAAGACTTGTCATCACTCAGAACTACCGTTTCATCTGGAGAAATGTGTTATCCTACACTTCAGGTGTAGTTTTCCACCGAGACAACTGGATGGCTTAGCAGTTAAGAATACTGGCTGCTCTTGTAGAGGACCTGGGCTTGATTCCCAGTATCCCCATGGATGCTTACAGCCATCTGTAACTCTAGTTCCTGGGGATCTGATGTCCTCTTGTGGCCTGTGTGGGTACCAGGTATATACATACAAGCAGGCATAATACTCAGATAAAATAATTAGTTGAGACAACTGGGCTGGATGGTTTCTGCTCACTTGGTTCCTTCTGTTCTTCAGCCTTCACCTCTTTCCCACCGATGTTTCCTCCTCCCAGGTTTCTGACCTGTTCCAGCCTCAGTCCTCTCCCTTTCTCCCTCTACTTACCCACTTTTCCTTGTGCAGGGCAGTTTGCTGAAAGTTTGGGGCTATTTAAGCATTCTGGGTGCTTCAATTTTACCTCCAATGTCTCTGCAAGGCCTTCTTTCTGAACACGTGGGTTTTTTCCTTGGGAGGAATTCTAGTGTATAGGATATTTAAAAAATATATACAATTATGTATGCATGTATAGTACTGTATTTGAAATGTCTACCTTTAGAACTTTGACATGATTTGAACCCCACAATGCTTAGACTATTTTTAATTAATGAAACTGGAAGTTAAAAATCATAAGTCTATAGTCCGTTTTAGTCCCCTTTCTTTCAAACACTGTCCTGGCATGACACTGGCCAATCATCATCACTCACATGAGGGATCAACATATCCATCATTCCTCACTTGGATACCCCAGAACCTCTAGTCCCAATATTCCATGCTTTGTGGTTATCAGTTCTTTGACAAAAAAACCAGCCACTAGATTCCTATTGCTGTGGTCTCTGTGAAGACAGGAGTTTGAATAGGCACACTGCTGTCTCCTTGGGGATAGCTTAGGATAGGACATGGAAGAAAAAAATTTAATTAGGAAATGACTAATACAGGTTTAGGTCTTTACCAATCAGAATTGTCAATTTTATGCTATAATAAAGTTACAAATCTCAGTTGCTTTGGCAACTACTTCCTATTCACTGCGTGTATCCATCTGGGTTGGGAGGGGAGGAGGAAAGGCCTCTTCATTGTGGTCCCTCAGTGATCTGATCTAGGCTGACAGTACAGCTTGTCCCTGTTAGAGAGGCAAAGAGAGATCTGGATGGCATTGGTATTTCTCCAAACATTAAAACTCCAGTCCCCGTGTGATTGCACCTGTCCTCATTGACCAAAGCTTTAAACCCTTACCAACCCAAAGGGTACCTGCTATCCATCCTACCATGGTCAGAAGATTTAAAGCCACAGCTTCCCTGAAAGGCACAAAGGCAGTTGAAATAAATCTCAGTGTTTGTTGAAGCTGGGAAGATGGCTGAGTGAGTAAAAACACTTGCTGCACACAAGGGTGAGGACTTAGATTCAAATTCCCATCACCCATATCAAAAGTTATCTATGCCTGTTACCCCAGTGTTCTAGAGTGGCAGAGACAGGAGGATTGCCAGGGCTTGCTGGCCACCAGCTTAGCTCCAGGTTCCATAAGAACTCCTCTCAAGGGAATAAAGTAGAGGATGACAGAGCAAAACAGTTTACATCCTCTGGCCTCTATGCACACAGGCACCACATATACCCACACCACAAACTCATCTATGCAGACACAAACAATCAGTATTTGCTGATGTTTATATTATGAAGGAAAAGATCACTGCCTGCAATGTAATGGACTATAAAGTATCAGATGGGGAGAAATAAATGGAGGATACTGAATTCTTCCTTCCTTCCTTCCTTCCTCTCATCATAGATAAGCACAGAATGTTACAGCAAATCTTTCGGCTTTTTATATATCTCAAAATTTGTCTGTGGTGTCTTAAACATGACCCATGAATCCATGCTTCAACTGTATTAAATTGCATTGAATTAGAGTTTAGCAACTATGTTAATCCTTTGTTTAATCCCTAGAAATGGAAAATATAAGGGTATAGCATTTCAAAATGCTAGCATTTATTAGCATATATGAATTTCCTCTTAATTTAAATTCATTTGCAAACCAAAGCCAGAAACCCCCAAAATCATGGGGCAAAAACTGTCTTGAATATCTGAATGTTTCTAATGTCTAGAATAATATATGTCTCTAGAATAAATGGCTAATAAGTTTGGAAACCACCTTACTGTAAAACAAATAAAAATATAAAAGCAGGTTTTAAAATTACTTTTTCATAATTTCTTTGTTGGGCTATTGAAGAGATGGTCTTTCGTGCAGAGAATTTGAATTCGGAATCCACTCTACCACCTGGTGCTTCTGCTACTTTTTGCTTTCTTAGCATCTCTCCACACACCTCATCTGTGAGATGGAGACAATGGCAATGCCTGTCCTACTGGGTTAGTAAAACACTGTAGATTATGCCTTATAAGATAGAGTTCAGAGTAGTGCAAGCACATGGGGAAGATCTGATGAACCCTGGCTCCTGCTCTTGTGACTGCTTCTACTTTTACCTTGATTCTGCAGCATGAGTATAAACTTTCTGTAGACACCCATTAATTAAGACAGGAATAATGAGCCACAGAAATAAGACAGAAGAACCCAAACTAAAAATTTGTCATTCTTATCTCATTTGATTGTTATTTTGAAATTTGGTTTGTGGAGGTGTGTGTGTGTGTGTGTGTGTGTGTGTGTGTGTGTGTGTGTGTGATCACTGAAAGACCAGTGAGAAAGACTGATGAAACACCAAGCAGGTGTCATTCTTTGTAGAGCAGAGGAAAGAAGACTTTTCTCAAAGATGCACCCCAGCATTCAGTCTTCTTTATAATACCCGCAAAAGGTAAAGAGATTCTCAGAAACTTTGAAGTTTTCAAGGCAAGAAAATTGTGAGAACCATCTCAGTTCTGAAAATAATGTAGCAGACTTGGGGTGGTGACCTTTGATAGTGGGGGTCATAGCAGTCTTGCTTTTTGCTTTATTGAAAGCATCTAGCACATAGTAGGTGTGGTGTGAGCGAGTATTTCAGAGACTTATCACTGGTGCAGCCTATAAAAGAAAAGTAGGTCATCTCCCATGCGTCTCCGAACTTTAAGTACAATCATAGTATATTTCCAGGGAAGCTGGGGTTCACACCATAGTACTCGAGATGCTACTGAACTTCTGTGTGTTTTCCCTTTCCATCTCAGCATGCTATTGAAAGAAAGCAAAAATACTTTGACAAAGAACCTTGAGCATCTTTCTTCATCATAACTCAGTCTTGGGTACCAACAATGATATATATTTCTACTTATTAAACATGTTAAATAACTCCAAAGATTTTTATTTGGCTTAGGAACACAAACATCAGTTATATTCCAGATAAATTATATTCCAAGATTTAGCTGACAAAATAGCTAACTGACAAAAAAAAAAAAAAAAAAAAAAAAAAGAAAGAAAGAAAGAAAAAAAATCAGGCTAAGCCTGACAGTATAACTTGCTGGCAAAAAGAACAGTCAGAGGTAAGACCTGGTGTATGTTTCACTTTCCCATTTACTGTTGCAAGCCTAACAGTCATTAACACTGTCAATATTTTGCATGATGCTTCCTTCTCTCTCATTTTCTTTCCTTCTCAGTCTCCTGGCATGAGAATAGAATAAGACAAAAACCTCCACCGCAGACCATCAGGTAATAAAGCGTGTTAAAGCGCTGCTTGGGTCGTGGGAGAGTGAAGGGCAGTTATTAAAATTTACCTCGTCTCTAATAGAGGGTAATGTCACTTTAAGACTTGTGAGACTTTAGAGAGGAGGGGTGTATTGAAACAGACTCCTGCTCCTTACAGGAGGTATAGCAGCCCTGCTCTTACATTTCGCTGCCTAACTCTGTCCTGAATGTGCTGGAGTGGGGATGGTCTGTCGGTGGCTATAAACTGCTTCTCATCAGGAAACTACATTAGCTCACCATCACTTCAAAGGTCTCGTCAGACAGAGGTGACGCCAGGAGATGATTTAAAGGTGAAAATGACAAGGTTTCCACCCCTCAAACCCTGGTTCCTTTTCTGACAATACAGTGAATGAACCCAACGTCTTCTTAACTGTGGAAATAGGATCGGAAGAGGAAAGCCTTTTTTTTTTTCTTCTTTAATTCTTGATAAAGAACTGCTGGGAAGCATTCTCTTTGAATATCTGAGAATTGTGGCACAGATGGATTTTAAAAAGTGTTAGCTCTTTCCAATGAACACTAGGAGAGTGCCCTGCTCTTGGCTGGATTTTTCAGGTAAGAAAGCCTCTGCAGATTTAAGATCCAGAAAGCAGATTTGAAACATATTCAGAGAAGTACGCAAGGCTAGATGCATTATTTGGGGGGAAAACTCTTACTGCCACTGAGCGGAGCAGAGCTCTGTGGGAGAGTGGAGAGCGAGCAGGGAAAGGGGTATTCAGGAGCCTGGGAAGTGATGCTGGGAATTAAAGAAAGTTAACAGGAAAAAGCAAAGAAAAAGGGAGGTGCTGTGATTGTCAAGTCAGAGCAGCTTCCTGCGTGCTGAGGTCTACTATGGGTTAAAACTGAGCAAGAGAGAGCAGAGCTCTGAAGAATTGTTAAGTTCCGAGGATGGTTGGATTTTTTCCTGAGTTAAATTCCCAGTGCATTTTAACAGCGATTGAAAACACAGCGAATGCATGCCGGGTCACCTCTGTTTTGTCTTTCTGTAATTTGCAGGCTATTCTGAAAGGCTCTAAAAGGCATTCATTTGGGGATTCACAGGAGGGGAGATGCTATTTATCTCTGCTGATAAGAATGAATCCAGGCTATCCTGCTAGTTCTAAAATCAAGGAGGCAAAGCATGCTGTATTCAAAAGTAAATAGTGGGCCACCAAACTAGAAACTAATTAGAAAGTGAGTGGTCCATCTGAGTCACTGCCTGGGGCATTGATGGCTCCATGTGGTCGAAAAGAATGTTTTCCCACTTTGCACTTAATTACAGTTGTCACGTTTATCTATTGTTATCCTCAAAGCCTTTCTCAAACACTCCACCCCTCTAAAACCTGCAAATTACCCAGAATTATGCACATATATATATGTATATAATGTTTATTTTTGCTGAACACCACTGGTTTTGAAAGAGTACCAATTTCCACAGATCAGGAAGGCATACTGGGAGGTCACCAGCAGGGTTTTAATATATAGTGGAAATTCTTGAAGGGTGTCATTTGAAAGAGCGAAAGAGGAAAACACAACCTTAATTGCACAAACCCTTTCTAAGCTCTCTAAGAGGAAGGCATGTTGCTAACTGAATTCTTGTATAGAAGATGCCTCCTATCACTGGCTGACTAAGGAAGATGCCTCGAGTTTGATTAATTTTGCAATATGAAATGCAGCATAAGGTGTTGTTTGGGAAATTGGACAATATGTAGCGCCGTTGAGCTTCTGTAGCTCTTGAGATGCCCATAAGTACAGATAAGATTGTCAAAGTTTCAGTGCCTGAGAAAAGGTATATGCTCACTCATAAATATACACACCACCTGCATATGCATATTCATCCGTGCTCCAGCAAATGCCACAATGGGATCTTAGGAGGCAAAACAATACTGTAAATTATGGCTTGCTGTAGGATAGATGCCTAGACCTTGCATCAGAAACTCATTCTGGCTAAAGACACACTTCCTTCTGATTTCAAGTCCAGTCAGAAAGATCAGTTCTATCGGGAGATTACAACATGCCTCTGAGAAAATGATTACTTAGTTTAGAGGACAGCATTGACATTAAAAATTCATGACTATAGAATTAAAGAGAAAAAAAAAGAGCCCACTCTTTTCTTCCAGGCTTATGTCAGACTTGCAATGAAGTTAGAATGAGAAAGTCTGCAGCTTCTGAATGTCTGGGAAAACTAGTTTGCAGCTCTTCATGTAAAACTGGGTGTTTTCGTGAGCAGACAATGTTTTCATCGGCCTGACTGACAGTCAAAAACTTTATTTTTGCATTTTAGGCAATCATTGCCTTTTGTTTTCCAGACCTTAAGGGACATATTTATGAGCTTCTGGAAAGGGTCTTCAATCCTACTCCCTGGCATGATCTCTGCTGGAACATTCCTTCTAGCCTGCCAAGTTGCAAAAGAATACCACGTCTGATAATCCCCCTTCCTTCCTCGCTGGGACTATTGCACTGTGGGCTGGAAGTCAGGGGTAACCTGTTCTTATCTCATGTTCTTTAGAGAATGGCAATGGTCTCTGCGATGTCCTGGGTCCTGTACTTGTGGATAAGTGCGTGTGCCATGCTGCTCTGCCATGGATCCCTCCAGCACACCTTCCAGCAGCACCACCTGCACAGACCAGGTAAGTGTGTGTGTGTGTGTGTTGGGGGGGGGGGCTTGCTCCACAGCAGGCTCCTCCAGCCTCACCGTGGTCTCTTCAACAGATGGCGGAAAGCAAGTGACAGAAATTGCTATAGTGTGGGCAGTTTGCCTTTGAATTCTAAGACATGTTGTGGGCTGGATGCTCTGGGGGATGGAGAGTGTACCAAAAAATGCCTTGGAGGTATTTCTGTTAATGTCTCAGAAAAGGTGGATTTTACTTTTCAAAGGAATCGGTTCCCCCCCCCCCCCCCGCCCCTTCACCTCCGCTACTGTCTTCCACACACCTTGTTTAGGAGAATGATTTGGTTTTGGACAATAGCAAAATATTCTACAAACGGTGGAGTAACTTTCAAGACTGGGGTGATTTAGAGAGGAGTCATGTATTTCCCGGGTTGAGTTTATACCTAGTGTAGATACTGTCATTTCAGTCTGTGTGGCTAAGGGCTCCAGGGATGTGTTAATGACCAGACTAACTTTAGAAGTTGTCAATGAAAAAGAAAATGAAGCAGTGACTTACTATGTCGTGTCTGGTTTAATTTGCATCCCGTCTTCTCTCCCTTCCTTCCTTCACTTTGGCTCCTCCAGTATGTTCGGCGCCCCCACCCTCTTTTTCCTCCCTCTGTTGGCAGTTTCTGGAACAAGTTCGCTCTGGCGTGCTTTCTGAAAATTTTCTTTATTGATTATTTTTTCCTTTTAGTTTCGGGTGCCGTTTGCTTTCTCCTTCAGCTTCTAACTCTTCCCTCGCCCCACTCTTCAATCCTGATTTTCCTTTCTTTGCCTGTCCAGCTTTCTCACGCAAAGTCACCCCCAGTTCAGTCGTCCTTACGCTTCCTGGTTGATTCTCAGAAAGGCTTCCTTCCGCTTTTCCTCCGTAGCTGTAGCTGTGTTTAGCCTTTGTGTCCTTTCGCCGCACGCCCTACTTTTACCGTCCTTGGTGGCCCCCTCGGAGGGTCAAGTTCAACGTTTGGGGACCAGTTGCACACTGAAGTTCCTGCTCCTCAATTCTGGAGTGCTGCCGCCCTCCCTCTCGACCCTCCCCATATCCTTTCCTGGCTTCCTGCCATCCACAGGACTTCTCAGTGCAGCAGGTCCAGGTCCGGAGTGGAGTCTGCATCTTTGTCTTTGCTGGCTCTGCAGCCTTGACTGTGATCCTGCACTCTTGTTTTGGCCTTCTCCAGTCCTTCTCCGGGTGCCTTTTGCTGCCTCCCTCCTGGGGTTGGGTTCAGCTTCCAAGCTGGGGCAGACTGAATAGAGAGCTGCCAGGGTGCATGCCAGCGCAGCCTGCTGGGTTTGCAGCCCTCAGCTGCAGAGGAGGGCTGGGGGCGGAGGAGGCCAGCTGTCCCCGGGTCCCATCCGCCTTCCTTCCTTCCATAAGCCAGGTCAGCGAGGGGAGCGAGGGGGCGCTGGTGCCCCTGCGGGTGGGCATGGAAACCACGCTGCTGCCGCTGGTGCTGCTTGTCTGTGTTTTCTGTGTCCTGTGTGCAGACCCTGGCATGGGAAGCGCCAGATTCCTGCCAGAAGCTTCAGTGCCAACATGGAGGGAACACAATCGTGGATTTGGGGATCCCTGAGCTACCTCCAACCACTTAATCGCCAATCTGTTCTGGCAAGAAAAGGCTTCGGCTTGTTACATAGTCATACAAATAATCCGGGAAATGCAGTTTCTCTGCAATACTCAACAATGAGATAAAAGAACCATCCATCCCGACAGTGTTAGAGACCGTGTTCACGGTTAATTCATATTATTAGTTTAACCACTGTGTAAGTGGATATAATTTACCCGTTTTGCCCAGAGAACGGAAGTGGAAGTTTGGGAGGGTGGGGTGTGACAGTCTGAAACCATCCAAAGAATGGTTGCAGATGGAGGTCATGCCCGGTGATTCTAAAACTGTCCCCTAGTACACAAATTGTCTATACCAGATAGCCTCTTAAGGAGCATCGAATATAATCAATGAAAACTTTAAGGTCAGATCCATGCGCACACTCATTTAAACTGCAAGTCAGTTCTGGGAGGTGACTGAAGCAGGTGGCTGGTGGTGGGGGCCAGGGACTGGTCAACGCCTCTGTCACTGAACTTTCCTAACATGAACTTGGATAAGTGACTTTCCATATCTGAGCTGAGTTCCCCATCAGGGGATGGGGGAGGGGACAGGTGAGGGGAGGATGAAGGGATGACTTCCTAGAAAGTGGGAAGTGAATTTCCCCATGTCAATATCAAGCATCCTTTTCAAGGGACTGCAACCTGTAAGTCAGGGATGTTGAATGAGTTAAATTTTACTGTTCCCACTACTAATAGATCCACTTAGCCAGGGCAAAGCTTGATGCCTTTGTTGTTTTCTAAGCATGTGATACATGGCTAGGACATGCCAGTGATTACAACCTCTCTTACTTTATGCTGTGTGTGTAGTCACAAAAAAAAAAAAAAAACAAAAACCTCAGATAGTTTGTAGTGAACTCTCACGTAGAGCACGTCTATTGGCTCATGGGAACTGGGGCTATTATGTGTAACAAAGAAATTCATATCATCGTAGGTCTTATTAAAATACCATATTTTTAAAATTGATTCTGACTGAAATTAAATCCACTGCTCATGTTCTTCCTTATCTACCATGGAGTTTGCTCATTACCAGCCAACATATGTGGAAATTATACCTTAAATATCTCAGGAACTTTGTTACCAACAACTCTGCCCCCAAGTACTCACTCTTTGAGCCCTGTCTCAGATTTACTGTAGAAAAGGAGGAACTATAAATGCTTCTTCTAGATACAGAGGGATTAAAATAATGTTGATTCAGAAGTCCAATGGGTCTGTGTAATGTGCTAATTCAACTTTCTTAGGATTGCTACAATAGCGGCAGAGATTAAAGTGATAGATCTTGGTCATAGCAATCTTCCAAATTATTACAGTCACTATTTAATGTGTTCTTCTGTTTTGATTTTAAGAGTAAAAATATGTTTCTCTCTCTCTCTCTCTCTCTCTCTCTCTCTCTCTCTCTCTCTCTCAGATAAGTGTGGCATTTTCATTTGTGGGTCTTAAATCTTCAGGGACACTAATGAAATGTGTGTGAAAACAGAACCAAAAACAAACCACGGGGCAGTTATCTGTGACACTCCACCCCTAAATGAGCAAATAAATAAAGACATAGTTGGATAAATGAGCAAAAAAAGGAAAACATAATTTCATTCTCTCAAATCAGTGAAAATAAGTGACATGATGAGAAAAAATGAGACAGCAGCCGACCCCAGCCATGCCACATTTGCCTAAGCTTGAAAAATCACCTCCTTCACAAGGCGGAGCAGCGGACTCGGTGTGCATGCCAAGCATGTGGAAATGTGCAAAATGACAAATCTTTTACTAGAGAGAGAGAGAGAGAGAGAGAGAGAGAGAGAGAGAGAGAGAGAGAGAGAGAGAGAGAGTGTTGCGGGGGGCTCTATAGTCACCCTCACCTGCTTAGGAATGGAATTCCCTCCCCCTCAGGCCAGCACCTCACAGGCAGCTTCCCCATCCCCATCCACAGCAAGATTGATGGTGTTCCGATTGCAAGCAGGCAATTTCAGTCTCTCAAGAAATAATCCACTCTACTGACAGATGAGAGGAATTGGATGAGCCGTTCCCCTTGTTGAGAGTGTGCCTCCTCTGGATGGCATCAGCCAGTCAGGGCCCGTTAGGGGAAATGGTTAGAAATTTGGGCCAATTTCTGCTGTCATAACGTGAAATTGGGACAGTGTTTTCGTAAGGCCACGCATTTGTGATATGTCTCCTCGATGTAGTGGGTTTGTGCACAAACAGAGTGAGAATATGTTAAGTAGAAAACTGACTGATTTTTAATGTATTCGCCTGCAGCCCCCTAAGTACTTCCTATTTTTCATATTTATAGTATTAAGAATGCATCATTTATTTTCACTTACTCACTAGTTAAGGAAGATTAAAACAGTCAATCAAATGAAACTGAAATTTAAAATTACATAAGTGAATAAAATGTGCTATAGATGAACAGATTCATAATTTCAATAATTGAATATTGGAATAGTTTTTATCTGGGGAATGATGTAGGAAGTTACTATGACAACTTGAAAAATATTTGTGCCTCCCCCCGCCCCCGTACCAAACCTTTGGTAGGACAGTTATTTTTAAAAAGACAGATTCAACAATGAAAACTCAGATGTAGCATCTCTTTGGCTTCTAGTAATTAGGACAGTCTAAGTTCTTCACACTTAACAGTGTGTGCACAGGGGGAGAAAAGGATAAATGGTCTGCTAAGTGCAGTCTTCCAATTTAAGATTATATTTGCTCCTGGTATGGATATATGGATTATGATGGCAATTTTAATGTTTGCTTTATTTGTGGTATGTGGGTGGATATGGGAGTGTGTGTGTAGATGGGTGGATGTGTCTTTGAAACAAAAATATATGAGTCTTCTCAAAATTCTTTAGCAAGAAAAGAATCCCTGGGATTCTTTAGTAAAATAAAATTACATATCTATGAATTACGTGAGACAGAAGTTAGAAGTAAACAATGAATCGTTTGTTCTTGAGTCAATGTGATTTCATTGGCATTAGAAATGATATATAAAAGCTTGCTCTGAATAGAATATCTCTGTAATTTATACTTGATGAGATTTAACACTGCATTAAGCAAACTGTGTATGTTAGAAGTCCTCATTTTTGACTTTATTATATAGTGAACATCACCATCCATTTTAACATGAGGATTTGGGGTAAATCAATTAAAATGTGTACATACCTTACGTTAATTTTTACTCTACCATTCAAAACAACATTTAGAAAACTGCCTGGGACGAATGTTTGAGATGCTTTTCAATAAAGGGTTGTTTTATAGTTTTAGTGTGTAAGAAATAGTGGGTACAACTATGGTTGCACATTTTCCTTTTAGGAATGCCTACGAGCTTAAAGTTGCTAAGTATAGTGGATTGGTGTTAGGATTGGAGCAGACAGGCTGTTATTTGGTATAAGCTGGTG